CCTTTTACAGCATTTTCTTATTTTGTTTTTCTGAAGGCTTGGTTGCCAGATTTTGAGTGTTTTTGTAGTTACTGCAACCTAAGTAAATCAGTTTCATCAGTGGAATTAAGGTCTTTAATAATTGAGACTAGTTTAAAAGAATTTATTGCTGTTTTTAAATGTTTTATATAAAGCAGAGCCTTTAAATTTCATCACTTCCTGTGTATAGACATTTTTATGGTTAATATATTGATACAATAGTTGAGCATCAGTAAGAAGTTTCAGTGGAAATTAATGTTGTGTCCAGGATATAAGAGTGAGGGATAAGGTTCAGCAGTAACAATTACTTTACCGGTGTTGACTGTTTTGGGCCGAGAACAAATCATGCATTTAGTATATGTAGGAATCTGTACTGGCCGCCTATTGCATTTGGTACTGTTTTCACAGTTGTTTGTTTAGGATAATAGAAATTAAGCTTATGATCTTATTAAGTACCTATTCTGCTGACTATTTTCTTCCCACTTAATCTTTTCTTATATATAAAATGAATAATTAAGTGGCATTTTGAGGCCTTTATTAAGGTAAATAGGAAAATCGCAAAGTGCCACCTGATAAGAAATTAGAGGAAAAGAAAGTGTTTACTTTTTTGTACTGTATTTCTACTTGGAAAGGACGTTTGGTTATTTTAAAAAATGATTAATTGCTGCAATGTTTATGTTTTCAAAATTACTTTGGTATAAAATAGGCAAAATAGTATTCATTCAGCAGACATTGGTTTATTGACATCTAAATGGTATTAAAGAAAATTATTAATCCCTTAAGAATTTCATAGGCTGATGAAAGAAAATGCACAGACTTGATTTTGGAATAATATGGAAAGATAGTGGTAAATATAGTATTTGTTTGAGAAAATAAGAGAATGATTCCTGGAGGCTGGAATACCTTAACTGTGTTCAGAGGATGTGTGAATAATCAAAAAAAGATCCAGCAAAAGCGGGGTCAAAAATAACATATTGGGTGGGTGATGTGGGGAGGGGGCAATCTAGTAAGAAAGCTACTAAATTTTGAATTGTGTGTTTCCTTTTAAGGCACCCCTTGCCTAAGGTTTTTGACAGGAATTTGGACATGATGGGTTTAGGTGTATCTGGAACATTTGGTTAGAGACATGTAGTAGACAGTTGGATACAGGAGTAAGTGAAGAGATCAAGGTTCAGGGGGTTTAAATCACTTGCCAAGGGACATATGGCTTATACTGAAGTGAGGGCACAAATCCTAACCTGACAGTAAAACCTACATTTTCTATGTAATCAATGTCTCACAATCTGATACTACTTTATTGTATTAGCACAGTGAAATGTGAGTCCAATGTTTTAGATTTTGGAATACTTGAGTTTTAAATTCAGTTCTGTAATTTTTGTAATTAGATCTCTTTGGGATTATTTTCATTTATTTGAAAATATTTTAGTAATTACCAGAATATACACAGTAGTTGTCCATGGCACTGTCATTATTTTAAGGAATGAACACTGAGAATATTATAGACAGTCTTGGATAGTAGCACAGTTCTTTAATTTATGTAAATTAAACATAGTTTTGTAATGTGAGAATACTTTTACAACATTTGAAGCATCTTGACGTATATTTTAAAATGTATTAGCTTATAATAGAAACGAGTAATTTATATTGCAGAGACATTTTAATGCTTCTTTAGCTTATGTTGAATTCCATAGAGCCTGAAATAATCATTTGACATTTTGCTCAAAGATTAGCAATAAAAATATCTCCGGAGTTGTTAGTCCACATCAGCTCTTTTGTTGAAATTTTTTTGAATGTTCTGTTTAATATGTTGATTATTTAATGCCCTGAGTATTATAAGTTTGTCTTATTATAAACTCAACATGTGCTATCATCAGACTAAAACCATGTGACATACATGGAGTGTTTGAGACCATTATAATCTTTTGTGAAAAAGCACACAGATAACCACATCTTTACATTTTATGTGGATAATATTGTGAACATTGGGATATATGGTATATCTTTTGTGAAAAAGCACACAGATAACCACATCTTTACATTTTATGTGGATAATATTGTGTACATTGGGATATATGGTAAAAATTGACAGTAGTTAAGGTGTTGGTACTGTCTTCTAAAATCACTTTGTAGATCTAGTAGGCCTAGGATTTTAATAGAATCTGAGTAAAAGTTAAAGCATTCCTTTTTTAAAGCTCTACAGAACACTTTAGAACAATGTAATTTGAATCATCAGCTTTAAGGTCTTCTTTGATTTAGAGAGTTAAGCTGGTATTTTAGAGCTAGGATGACTGAAACTTTGTTACTCTTTCTTTAAATCCGCCTACTTCAGATATGACTTGGGAAGGACTCTACTAACTCAGTAAGTTTTACCAGTTCAGGTAGCATTAATCAGATTGTAAGTGTAGAACTTGCAAGTTTTTTGTGACGTAAAAAGGGTTCCTTAGTCACATATTAATGGAAAATTATTGATTCAGCAACTGTGAGTGCTTGTTGTTGTTTGTTGTTTTGTATATGTGCTTGTATGTTGTATGAGTATTTCATCACTTCAGAGACTGAAGAATACAGGGATTTTTTTTAAAAAGGAAAAAAAAAAGACCCCCGACCCTGCTTTCATGGAACTAACATTTGGCTTAGGGAAGAGAGACCAAAAAACAATACAGAATATGTGGCTGAATTTCTAGGTCAGCATTGTGGGTTTGAAAATGCTGCTATGGGCATTTAGGGTGGGCATTTAAAACTACATTGTAAGTTGACAGTTGAGTGAAGAGTTGAGCTATGCCAGTACTTGAGGTATGCCTGCTTACCTTTCCAAAAGAGACAGTAAGGAGGCTGGTGTGCATGGAATGAGCTAGATCAGTGATGAAGTTGAAAGATTATCAGATTAAGTAAGACTTGAAAGACCATGTAAGAATTTTTAATTCCAAGATAAATAAAAGAAGGTTGTGAGCAGATAAGTGACGTAATTTGATTTTTGTTTTCAGAAGGTCACTCTGGTTGCCCAGGAATAATAATCGTAATAATAAATCTGAGAAGATAAATAGTGGTACTTTGAACCGTGGTAGTAACATTGGACGTAGTGAGGAGTTGTATTCAGTTATGTTTTGAGGAGACAACAGAATTTCCTGTGGGGTTGGAAGTAAGCAAAGAGTAGACTTTTTGGACTTAGCACCTGGAATTATGAAGTGCACATTTGCTCAGTTGGGAAAATTGCAAAGGAAGCAGCCCCAGGAGAAAAGAGTAGAACTTCTGTTTTAGACTTGATAAACTGAAGTTGCTTACTAGACATTCAATAAAAAATTAAGTAGTTGGGTATGTGAGGTTGATATGCAAAGGAGAGGGCCAAACAAGATATATAATTTTTTTTTTTTTTGGTACTGGGGATCAAACACAGCTTCGCGTTTACCAAGCAGGCACTTAGGCCCCTGACCTAAACCCCTAGCCCGGATATATAAATTTTGAGATTGACTTAGAGCCTTGAGAGTGGATGAGATCAACTCAATCTAGAAACTGTGGATGGAGAAGATGTCCAGAACCTGAACTTTAGGAATGGAGATTGTGGTGATGAATTAGAACTAATAAAGCAAACTGACAAGTAGGAACCAGTAAAATAGGAAGAAAAACAAGAGATAACAAGTGAGCAATCTGTTTCAAGGACTAGGAGTGATCAGCTCTGAAAGATGTTACTGGATGGGTCAAGAAAGATGGAATCTGAGAATTGGACTACAGTATAAGAATTAGCAATGTAGGGGCTGGGGATTTAGCTCAGCAGCATAAGCGCCTGCCTTGCAAACAGGCAGTCGTGAGTTCGATCCCCGGCAACCATAAAAAAAAACAATTAGCAATGTAGAAACAACAAAGGATTCTCAAGTAGTTCTAGTAAAATGGTGGAGGTGAACGCCTCATTGGAGAGGATTCAAGACATAATGGGAAAAGGAAATTTAAAATCAGTGATTATAGAATTCTCTGTCTGTGATTTCATTCATTGTGAGTGAAGAAAGAGATGAGGCGGTACTGGTACAGTACAGGTGTTTTGTTTTTAGGATGAGAAACTGACAGTTCTGAAAGCAAATTGATACTGTTTGGGAGAGTAGAAAACTATTGATGATGCTGAGAAGGGTGATTGCCAACAGGACGTCTCTAAATAGATGATTTGGGATAGAAACATTTTGTCAGACTTTCTCTCCCCTCCTCTCTTCCCTGCCTCCCTCTGTCTGTGTGTGTGTGTGTTTGTGTGTAATCACCTAGAGTTGTGGTTTAAATGCAGTTCTGTTTTTGTAGTTTTGAAATTTGGCCTGAAAATTTTGCATTTCTAAGAAGTTCATTTATAATACCTGTGTTTCTGGTTCATTGGCTAGACTTCGGCACTTTGAGCACAAGAACTGACATTATATTGTCATAAAATTTTACAGTTAGTGGAAATGATCAGTTTATGCAGTGTCTCTTCAAATTTCTGTTTTTTTCAGTAGAACAGGAAGCAACAATCATAGCAAGAGAACACAGGAGGTGATATAATTTCACGTAGGGAAATAGAAGCAGTAGACTAGAAAAGCAAGGCCACAGAGTTTTAGGAAGGGCATATTGGGTTAGTGGTTATCAGTTTAAATTGAGATAGATGAAATATAGATATATTTTATTCATTCATTTTCAATTGCATAGAAGGTAGGGTGTTGGGATTTAGTGTTTGGGGGGGAACAGATAGGAGAGAGAGATAAGTGATTTATGAGTATGCAAATTGATTTCAAGTGAAGAGTTGTATCTGTAAGAATGAGGGGATCTTAAAAAGATTAAAAAAGTTGTTTTTAATTGCACATGTATATTTTTACTTCTATTAAATGTATACTTTTTACTTCTATTAAAACAGGTTAACATCCTTTTAAACCATGCAGATTTATGAGTCACATAATAAAATCTTTACTATATGAATAAATGTACGAAGATTTTCACCTTTTTTTTTCTTGTCTCTTCTCTCTTGGATATTACAGATGACCATGGATGAAAAATATGTAAACAGCATTTGGGATCTTCTGAAAAATGCAATTCAAGAAATCCAGCGTAAGAATAACAGTGGTCTTAGTTTTGAGGAGCTCTATAGAAATGCGTATACAATGGTTTTACATAAACACGGAGAAAAACTCTACACTGGACTAAGAGAAGTTGTTACTGAACATCTCATAAATAAGGTATCCAACTTTAAAACACTGTTGCTAATACAATATCGAATATAGAAAATCCTTTATGTATTGTCTTGTATTTTGACCCAGAAGCATTTTTTAAAGGCCAAAGGAAGCCTATAAAATTACTGTAATTCATGACTATATTGTAAAACCTCACTCAAAAGTTAGAATCAACCGAGTCATGATTTTTGGTGAGGAAGATAAAGTTCATGAAGTATGTTAAATACAATCTGTATAGTGGCAATTAATGAACAGACATTCAGTCATTAATAAGTGCTTACTAATTTTCTTAAAGTGCTTTAATCAGCCCATTTCAGCTTTTTCTGTGTATTTCAAAGTAATGAAACTATTGCATAAAAAATTTCCTAAGATTTCATTAATTGAAATTGACTTTACTCATTTTAACTTCTCTGGTAAACAATTCTATTTCAAATACAGAGTAGTGGTGGGATAACGTTATAAAATAGTTCTATAATTTCAAAAAGGTGTATTTTTTTTAAGAACAAGTGTTTTTATAGAGCAAACCGCATATTAAAATTATGAGATTACTACAGTGTCTAAGATTGTCAAAATATAAATTAATTCACAGCTCTTATATGGTATTAGGGTATTCTTTTTAAAATTTTATTTTAAAACAAAAATTTTATGTACAGTACATTGAATTCTTACATATTTCACTTAAATATTACCAGTTACTAATTGTGCCACATTTTTGCAAATCTTTCTATTAGTAATTGTTATTTACTATTATTATCAATGTTATTTTTACTGAACAAGTAAGGAACAAATTTTAGATTCTGTTTATCCTAACATACCTCGTAATGTTTCTCTGATTAAGGATATTCTTTTGTATAACAAAAAACTATAATCAAAATTAGGCATTTTCATACTGTTATACAGTTCATACTCAAATTTCATCAATTGTCCTGTGTAGCAGTGATAGCCCCTATAGTAATTTGTTTTCTGATCCAGGATCCAATCCAGGATCGTATACTGTACCCAGGCCTTCAGTCTTTACTTTGTCTTTCAGCTCATTGACATTTTTGAAGAGTATAGGTTAGTTGTTTTGTAGATTGTCCCTCAGTTTTTGGTTTGTCTGATTGTTTCCTCATGACTAGTTTCAGGTTATGCATTTTTGGCAGGAATAATACATAAGTGATGTTGTGTCCTCAGTGCATCACATCAGGAGGCACATGATGTCAGTTTATCCCATTATTGGTGATGTTAACTTTGATCACTTGGTGTCCGCCAGATTTCTCCACTGTGAAGGTACCATTTTTCCCTTTGTAATTCATAAGTAATCTGTTCAGTTTTATTTTGAGACTGTATGAATATCCTGTTCCCCCAGAAACTTCCATGTGATGGTTTTAGCATTCATTGATGATTCTTGCATGAATCATTACTGTGGTGGTTGCAAAATAGCAACTTTCTATTTCTATTCTTCCTTGTATAATTCCTTTCTCTCAAAGGGGATTAAATGAGCCAAGGAATTTAGTATTTCATGAAGCAAGGTGATTGTATTTTTCTTCTAAGTACCTGCTATGCACAGCTTTAAAGAAAAGTACAGTGAATGAGTGGATGCAGAGATGATATTCTGTCCCTTCCTAGGTTGTTTTTACTGTGATGTCAGAAATGCTACACATTTTAACAGTGTGAAGCAGTATATAATTAAGTGATAAATAATTTGGGAATTGAAATGGAGAGATTATTCTGGGAGGTAACATTTCATGAGAAAGGGTGAAGTAAATTAAAGAGATCCTTTAAATATTGGGGGATAGAAATGAATAATGTGGAAGACAGCATATGATTTTATATATAAGTGAACTGGTTACATTTAGGCAGCAAATGGGGTGTGATTGAGACATAAAAATTAGGCTTAGTGAATTACATTGTTACAAAAAAGATATAGAAACAGATTAGAAAAATTTGAATGCTTGACTAAGGAGTTCAGAGTAAGCAATGGAGAGTTCTTGGTGTTTTTAAAGTGTGTGATAATATGACAGTATTTAAAAATTATGATATAAATGTGGATTGGGGGAGACATTCACTAGAAACAAGTAGAACTATTAAATTCTGAGTGAAGTAATAGGGTAGAAATTAACGAATGTTGGTAGAAATTCTGAAGTAAAATAAGGTGGAATTTGTTTATTGGTAGAATTATGCTGTCAGCAGTAGAAATACTATGAAGTCATAATGAAACTATTTTGAGATGAGTAGAGGAAATTCCATGTTTTGTTTAAGAGTATATAGATTCAGTTTTCATAGTTGGAAAAAACCTTAGAAATCATTTTACATGTGAGAAAAATTGGGTGTGAGACCCAAAAAATACTCAAGGTTAGATAGAGCTAGGTTAGAAACTGATAACTAGATATGGAGAGTTGGCATGTGTTAACAATTACTGAGGAATGTGTGTTAGATTTTAAGAGAATGAAATGTGCAGAGCCAAGGGACAAATGTTCAGGAGCAAAGCATGGCAAGTAGTTGGAGGAATAAAAGAAGACATTTAAAATATTTGGCACTAAAAGAATAGAGCAGAATAGTTTCACTTAAAAGCTGCTGACGGTTAGAAGATCGGAGCATCTGAATTTTTAAATACAGAAAGAATATGGGATTAAGAACAACAGAAATAAATTTAGAAAGACATCTTCACCTTTGCCAGAGGTCCTATATGGAATCATACATAATATGATCATAACTAAGACTGACTACGTAACATTTACTGTGTGCCAAGTTCTCCTGTTTTCATATGTATTAATATGGCTAGTGTCAGAATTCAGTGCTGTCTCATGGTATAGACCAAGAAACTAAGGCACAAAGAATCAGTTTATCTAGATGTACATAATTACCAACCAAGCTGTGATTATCCAGGCAGTGTTGCTTTAGGCTGAGGCCTTGACTTCTCTGTAGATCTGCTCTTGGAATAACTCTTGGAAATAGCTTCAAGATAGTTGACTTACTGTTTGTAAAGCTGTAGTCCTTTCGTTTCTGAATTTCACTTATATAGAAAGGAGTTGAAAATATCTGAAATCTTTTTATTTCTAAAGCAGATATGAGTCTGATAAGTTATCCATCTTCTTGAATGTGAGTTGAAGACTTCAGATAGCCCTTGTGGGAAACACCTTAAGAAACTGACAGTGAGGAAAGAGATATTTTAGTACGAGTTGGTCTACACAAGGTAATTCCTTATCCCTGTGGTCAGAAATGCAGAAGCTCATGCAAGAAGTGAGGGAAAAGGAGGCCACAAGTGTGAGTTCAGTGTTTAACTGAATGATAGTTGGACTCGACACCAAGGTCGAGTAGATACTGAAGTCAAGTGAACAGTAACTCTAAGGAAATTTTAAGAGCTTAGTAAGTTGCTTACTGAAGGTATCACATGTTTCAGTTTAACTGTTGGCTTGTTTGGGGTTCTTGCAATGTATTATATCGTAAACAGAATGGCCTAAATAACTTACATTTATCTCTCTAATTCTGAAGGCTGGGAAGGCCAAGATCAAGGTCTATGGACTCAGTTCCTGACGAGAGGGCCATTTGCCTGATTTACAATTGGTCTCTTCCTGACTGTCTTCACAGGGCAGTGTACTCCTACAGTCTTTGCTTGCGTTGATGATTAGGGCTTCAGCATACAAATATGAGGGGTACATAACCATTCAGTAGTTCATAACAACTGTCATTTCAGAATTCGGAGTGTTCCTTACAGTATATCCCCTAAAAGATGTATTTTATTTTTGAAAGCTCTTTTGGTGTGCATGCTTTCATATTAGTTTTCCATTTATTTTATTTCATTTTTATTCTTACTTTGTGTGAAAATTTAAATAACCACCGGATCCCACATAGTACTGCTTTGAAGTGGAGGCTACCAAAAGAGAAATTAACTAAGTGATAGGCAGGGTCAATGAATAATAACTCGATATGTTCCTGATGTAGGAAGTGGTCATTTTGTTCTGTCTAGTGGGACTTATGGATGTGAAGTGTAATGTAATTCTTAAAAATATAGTATGTATGAATATCAATACCTCTGTCTCTACATTGTACCTTTTGACTAGAAAGTGAAAGAATGGTTCTGAGTTCTTTTACCTAATCTCACAGAATATACCCCTTTTTGTGATTCTGAAAGCATCAGTGTCTAATTTGTTCATTAGTTTTTTGAGTTGTTTTGGCTTCCTGTTCACTGTTTTTGGCAGTTGGCTCAACTTACGTGAACTTTTAGTGCCATGGAAAGATAGCCAGGACATACCTTTTCACATTGAATAAAAAAGTATCAATTTTATATGGAATTAAGACTGATTTTTTAATATGGTTTGTTGGTACTTTAATTTCAGGGTGAAAATAGTGACAATTTTGACCAGCTTTTTTTTTTTTTTTTTTTTTTTTTTTTTTTTTTTGTAAAACAGAAGAGTATAATCAGAGGGCATATGAAGGAGATATTTAAGAAAGGGTACTTCTTGGGATTGAAGGCTGTTTATTACTGAATTTGGAAATGAGTTCCCAGAATTAAGGCAGGCGAAGAAAATTTGAAGTGCTGTTTCTCCAAGTTGACTTCCGTTGGTTAATCTTTTCTGCCTCTAAAAGAATGTCTTCTTTGAGGAAACTGAGACCAAAAGGAACTTAGTGAAGTTCTCAGGACTGTAAGGAAAACATAAGACGTGTGCCTTTCTATATAAAAAAAATGGTCTTACTTTATTAAATTTGAAGACACTTCAGTTTTCAGGGGGCTTTGTCTCCATATTTTTTATCATTCTAAGTTGAACACCTTTCTAGACTTAAGGACCTTTACATCATTTTATCAGCACCTCAAAGATCCTTATAAACCTTTTCATCACAGAATTCAGTCATTCAAACACATTTATTATTTCAGGCTCTTGAGTTAGGTGTAAAGACTATATTAGTAAATAGAACACATCAGATCTGTTCATTCATAGATAAATGTTCAGCTATAAAATAATGAAAAGAGGGCACAGTGATAGAGGGAAAAATGATAAGTAATTAAAGAGGTCAAGAAAAGCCTT